AGACTTGTTTCAAAAACAAACTCAACAGTTTTGTAGAACTTGAAATTCTCTATCTTTTGGTATATTAGGGCATATTTTTCATAGATGAAAAATGAGAGAAAAATGCATCAGAATTTAGTGCAATTTACCTTGGATCACCCGTTATACCAGTTTCATGTGACATCTAATGCGCCTTCTCTTGAAGATTAACTTGAATATTACTGTAAATAGCATATGTGCCAAGAAGACAACAGAGAAACAATTGCGTAAAAGACAAACGTAGAACAAAGACAGAATCGGTTAGTTTACGATGACAAGGAAAAGGACCAGTTATTGAACATTTCGCTTCTGTATGTTCTATGCCAATCTCAGAATATAATATTAGGATTCCAGCCAACAATATCGCAGACGCTCATGCTTCGCTTCCATTATTTTATGTTTCTATCCAAGAGGTTGAAAACGTTATATCTAGATTAGATATCAATAAAGCAACCGCATCCGGCGTGAATAATCGTTTGTTGCGCGAGTCTTCGGTAATTATTGCCGAAGACGTTACTCACATATGTTGTACCTCACTTTTAACGTCCTATTTTCCTGATTCTTTGAAGCAGGGCTATGTTACGGCTTTGTTTAAGAATGGTGATAGAAAATTGTCTAATAACTATCGTCCAATCACATTATTAACCGCTTTGTCAAAGGTCGTCGAGAAAGTTGTTCCTAAGAAACTGTATGAATACTTAAGTGTGAACAAACTTCTATTAGTTTTTCAGTCTGATTTTCGAAAGAAACACTCAACTATTCATCAACTGGTAGAGCTTGTGCATTCAATATGTGAGGATCGAGCTTCTGATAAAAATATTGAGGTTCTTGACTTCAAAAAGGCCTTTGACAAAGTCTGTGAGAAAGGCTTACTGTATAAATTAAGGAAAAAGGGAGTTTGCGCCGAACTGGTTGAATGGTTCGAAGATTACTTACTTAATCGTCAAATCACAACAGTAGTTGATGGGAAAAAATCAAATCCAATTCGAATTAACTGTGGTATCCCTCAAGGTAGTATATTAGGTCCCCTTTTGTTCCTCATTTACATTGACGACATTGGACTTGATCTGACGTCAAAGACTCATCTCTTCGTGACGATACATTGCTTTATTACAGTGATACTAGTAAGGAAAAAATTAACAATATCTTAACTAATGACCTTGCTACAGTATATCAGTGGTCCCTACAATGGTTCTTACCATTAAAGCTTATTAAATGTGTCTCAATGTCTTTTTCTAAAAAGCCATTGCCGGGAAGACTACAACTAGCAACTCATACATCTCAGAGTGTTGAGGAACACAAACATCTGGGTGTGTATTTTACTTTATCATTATCCTGGAAACGTCATGTAATTTATATTGTTTTTAAATGTAATTGAATCCTGGGAATGATGACGAAGTTGAAATATACATTTTTCACCGCAGTGTTAGATCAAGCATACAAATCATTTATATTGACAGTACTGAGCTATGTACATATGATCTATTCATGCACAACCACTTTAGCCTGTACTGCGATTACAATAGAGAGCAGCCCTTCTAGTTTCTGGAGTCTGTCAATGCCCTGGGTATTTTTGATTGGTCCGGCATACAGATATTTTATGATGTTCATAAGCTACTTCTTCTACGTAGCATTATTGTTGGCCAAGCTGCTGTATGATTGTCGTCCTATATTCAGCATAGAGATCCAATTCCATATAATTTGCGTAAACTAGTAATGCTTAGAGGCATCACACTAGACTCGGCTATAGCGGATAGGTCTTTCTGTCCATACTCTCTTCAGCAATGATCAGCGCTCCCTCAAAATCTAAAAAAAACCACTTCAGAAATATTCAAAAAAGAACTTCTCATCCACTACGAATGCAACTTTTCATATTTTCATGTTTATACTGTACCGAGACACATCGACGTATTATACAATAGACTACGGAGTAATTTTTCCACTCTGAAAGCTGACTTATACAAAAGATCTCTATCAACTAACAGTCTATGCAAGTGTGGCGAAATCGAAACATCACAGCATTATGTATGCGTTATTTCGCTCTCAGCGTTTTATTCTCTTAAGTACCATCTCAGCAATAGAACTAGTCCTTACCCTAAGTCTTGATTTGCTATTGTTAAATGTACGCCTCTCAAACGAAGAATATATATCTGTCTATCGTGCAGTTATAAATTTTATTTGTACAACAAGAAAATTTGAAGAAGACTAGTGTGTCTCTGTTTATTTTTATTTTTTACTATTGTCTTTCTTTTTCTTTTACCCTGGATTTCTCTCTCTGTGCGTGTCTACGTTCTCTTTATTTTCTCTAGTACTTTTGTTTCTTTTCTTTCTTCCATTCGACTATATATTTGTTTTATTTTTGTTCTTCACTCAGCTGTTTTATCTTTGTAAATTGATCTATGTTCCTTGTGTCATCATCAATAATAATGGGAACTCGTTCTCTCTTTTGGCGGACACAAGTACATGAATTTCTTTCTTTCAATAAATAGCTTATAACATAAATTAGCGTGCTTCATCCCAGAATTGATTTCTTTATCATTATAGCACAAGAGGCAAAATAGATTATCAATTTGTTGGCGGAAGAAAGTGTTTGCTTATAAACTCATAAAGCTTAGAACAATTTTTGAAGTTCTTCTCCTAAATTCGATCTTCCGCTCTTCATACCTTGCATTTCTCCAACTACGCATTTTTCCACTGCACTAAATGGTGCAAAAGGAAGCTACGAATTATGATGATACATTCGTATGAAGGCCGTACTATAGCCAGTAACATGTGAGTGATTACTTGTAAAAACTATTTAAATATATACATAAGAGTACGGCCTTCATACGAATGTATCATCATAATTCGTAGCTTCCTTTTGCACCATTTAGTGCAATGGGAAAATGCATAGTTGAAGAAGTACAACGTATGAAGGTCGGAAGATCGGATCTAGGAGAAGAACTGCATAAGTTATTATAATCTATATCTCTCCTATAAACACTATTTCTAAACTCATAATGTACCACCATTATTTTTAGGTTCTGAGCATCGTATAAACGGTAAAAAATTTGCTGGTGAAGTTCATTTTGTACACCAAAATCCTTTAACAAATCAGTCAGCTGTCTTATGCTTTTTTATCGTTGAATCTGAAGTGGAAGATACACCATGGCGTATATATGTTAATAAAGCTATAACGTTAAATTCAACCGGTTATCAAACAGCCTTTGAAGGAAATTTGTCAGCATTAATGTATGCACACAAGAATACCTTTGCTGATTTTTGGCGATACGATGGAAGGTATGTGAATGACTAAATAAAATATTCAGTTTTCAAAACAAGTATCACTTGGATAGAATAAAATATGGCAAGCCTATGCTATGCTATCGGCATTAGCGTGCTCCTGCAAAGTAATGCGGGATAAGTCCGAAGACATGCAGAAATGCCACTTGTATCTACCGGTACCATGTACAGAAATTGTTCGTGGTGAGCGTCATTAGTTAGAAGATATGCGGCATCAGTGCCAAATTGACTCTTTGTGTATTTCAGACAATCACTAATCCAATTTGGAAGAATACAGGGTACTAGATATGTAGATAACTGAGAAGCATTTACAGATTTTAGACAATAATCATTTTACTGGAGCGACAGGAGGAATTTGAAGCAATAACCTTCGAAAAAGTTCAAATAAACTTAATTATATATTTATATA